AACATGGAAGTCGAGAATTTGGGTAGACGGTGCCTTTAAAAGTGCTAGAGGCTGCATGTTCAAGCCTTAATACCATTTTATCAATTTGAACTTCACTACTGGTCCGATTCCACTGATTTGAGCATTGAACTGGTTTGATTGGATGAAATATGGCTTTCTCTCTATGGAAAATTTCGTTATTCTTTTGCGATAAAGTCAGAAGACCTAGGAGTTAGTGTGAGAGGAAATTTATACTTTCAAATAGCTAAGTGTAAGCAAATATCCAGCTTGATCGCCAGAAGGCAGACGGTTGATCGCAAAGAGCAAGCGCTCTAAATCATCAGCTTATTCAAACTGCGCACCTCCAACGAAAAAACAATGAGATTTTTTTCTTGACTTACATAATTGATATGAAGGTGTTACCCATCAGAAATTTTTATCAGGAAAGGCGACTGCTAGGTATCGGGGTACTGCACGCGATCCTCCGTTGATTCAACGACTGGAACGACCAAGTCGTCGACAGCGCCCACCAACTTTGGACGAAGCAATTGCTGCGCAAGATGCCAGAAGAGCAGCTGCTGCAATGGAAAGTTACCAAAGCGACATGGATGATAGCTACAGGTATCTTGTATAGATTAACTTCTTGTTCGTTAATAATTTCTTTAGCAATTCCGAAAGTTCTTCTGAAGACGAGGCCAGCTCGGACTCTGATACCAGTGATTCGGACTTTTCTGTTGGGTCCGTCGGCAGTGGACGGCATCATGAAGAAGATGAAGAGGTAGTCATTTGATAAAATTGTTTCGAGCTGTTTTCATGATTTTTATTCTGGGAAGGTTGTTTTGCAAATTATTATTTTTCCATTTGTGCTCAAAGTTGCTGATCCGCAGTCTTATCCTCGTTCAGTAAGGAAAAAATTTCCATTAAGAAAGTGGAAACAGCTGTAACCACATCATCCGGCCGGCGAGTGCAGCGGCCACAAAGAATAGATGGAGCCATGCCCGAAGAAGGGCGAAAAAGGGATCAACGTCGTCGGAACAAAGCTACAGTATGTCAACAGTTCGCTGTATGATTGTAATTTTTGGCCACTTTATCACTTTGCTCTCACTTAGGACAATGATGACTCTTCTGCTACTGAAGTGAGATCACCTGAAGAAGACGAATCAGATATTCCTGGTCCGTCTACAGCAGATGCCATTCCTACCAAAAAACCTGCACGCCCCAAACAAAAGAGAGGTAAGAGAGTACCCTCGACCAAGAACAAGCATGCTTGTCATTTTACAGAGAGTTTCCTCGACTCTTTTCCCGAATGGATGCGGATGACCGAACCGCGACGATTTCCATATATCGCCCAGCTTGGCGATCACGTAGTCTATTTTCGGCAAGGACATGAGTCATACTTGGAAAGGGTTGAAGCTCTCAACTTATATCCTATCAGTTCGAAAATGAGACCAAAGTGAGCGCTGGCACCTTTATAACGCCAAGAATCATGTGAAATACTTATATTTTGAGGCCATCGCTTGCTGCCGAAGAATTTGGTATTGTTGACGAGGTTCGATACGTGCGAAAGCCATATCGTTTGACAGTGGTCCGCCTGGCGCAAACAGACGGTGATGGACAACGAACTGGTGCATCTTGGACAGTTAAGTACGTTCCGCAGCCTTTTCTAGCTTTCTTATTCCTTGAAAATGTGATCAGTTCAGATTCCACGACCTAGCAAATGTGCCAGATTTTATTGTTCTGAAAGAGCACTATGATGCATCAGTTGCGCAAAATGTTCAGGAAGGAGATAGAATTGAAGCCATTCTCGATGGGCAATGGTGGACCGGTACTGTGAATCGAAAAGAACCCAAATCTGAAGAATTTCCTAGGTCAGTATCGTTGGGTTATGGTGATTGAGTGCTTTTTTATCCACACCCGAGAGTTATATGAGGCACCATCCTTTTGATGGTTCAATACTTACATGCACACTTTGTATGCAATTTGAGCCTAAAGTACGAAAAACAGAAAATTAAATTACGAAAATTGGCAATCTGATATCAGCTGCAAATTTTCGAGGATGCACGTTCATTAGGCTTCAGAAAATAGCAGATTTAGTCTGGAAATGTCCGAGA